GTGTAGCAGCTCCTCGTGGGGAAGGAGTAGCAGGTGCCCGGGCTAAGGGCGCGCAGTGGGAGTTAGTACCCTTCAAAGGACGGCCTCTAAGAAAAAACAAAACACATTTTGAAGATTTTTTTCCCGCTTCTGCCATTTTTAACCCTGTCCAGACAGGGCCGTCCTCCTGTAGGGACCTCAAGGTGAGCACAACTAAGTGTATTGGCAATGTGGCATTAACGGCCCGACAGCTCAACAACTAGTTAAAGCAGCCCCAATTAAAGATGGGATTTTAGAGAAGCCAAGGTGTTACTAGTACAAAATTGCTGCATTTTTAGTGCTGTAAACTATACTCAAAGCAAGATTTCTCAGAATGTCCTTCCAGTGCTCTCCTTGTGCTTACTGACCATGTGCTGCTTACACATTTATCTCGAGAGTAACTTCTGTTGCTTCTCCTAGGAAAGTAAAATGCCATAGTTTTTTATTGTAAAGGTGTAAAATATTTGTCTATTGGCACTAACACGTCTCCAGAACTGTGTCAAAACTGATGTATATGCATGCAACAAACAAAAGAGCTGAGCTAATGCTTAGTTCTTGCATATAGTATGTTCAATCTTAATGGACATTAGATTTATGTATGTTTATATCTGTGCCAGATTTGAATAACCTGTAATTAACATAATCTTTGTGAACGCAGTGGAAGAGGGCAAGACTGAAGATGTCCAGGGTATTCTAGAACTTAATGTGTGAGGATGTTTATACGTAGCCAGGCGTGAGCCTTTATGCTGCTTTAAGGATTCAATGCTAGCTTCTGTGTTTAGTGGATGGTTTCCTCTAGAAGTGGATGAATCAGGCAAAGATGTTCAAGCAGTGAACATGACATTCTGATGAGGGAGCTTTGTGGCAAAGACATGCTTTTATATATAATTATGCATTTTAGAGTATATCTCTTTTCCCAATCTGCTGAGCATCACTTGGCTTCTTTAATTCCAGGACATAAGACAACTATGCGTGCATGACTTTATACTGAAGAGTAACTAATCTGAATTCCACAAGACTCCTTATGTTTGCAAACATACATGTTTGACAGTGCTTACCCCTGCCTTGTTCCAGTCCAAACTGTGGTGTTGGAATGCACTTTTTCAGCATGAATATGAAAACAGATAAAATGGAAGTTGTCAGAGTTTGGCATTTAACTTGCATCCTGTTTATGAATCTCTATATTCTCCAGAGGCAGCTCACTGTCTCTGTTCATTACGTAAAGAGATTTGGGTCTAACCTTTGTTTCAGAATGCTTCATTACTCAGTAAAGATTGCATTTTTCACCACCATGGCTTGATATGAAAGCTTGAATAAAACTATTCATGGGTCAAATTTCACACTTGTTTGTGACTTGGAAATCCTGCCAAAGTCTGTCTAGTTTAAAGATACGATGGATGGAGAATAGTAATTCCTTGTTGTACAATTCTGGCTGTTTAAAATATCTGAAATGTTTAACATTTTTACAGGCAGGGCTTTGCTACCATCTTTCAGCTGCAGTGAAGAGCCTGTTGTACACAGCTGTGCGTATGGCGTGGTCATTTTCTGTAAGCCCAGCAGGCAAAGGAGAGAAAAAGAAACAAAAAAAATACTGTAAAACTTCAGCAATATTCAGGAAAGGTTAGACTAGATGTATTTTGGAGATCAGGCTATTTTTAACTCTTTCAAATAGCCTAGATCCAAAATTGAAATAAATCTTTGCAACAGCAAGAGAAAAGCTGTATCTGTAGTTAGAATTAGATTTTAGCATTTTGAGTGCAGCAGAGCTGAGGTTGTATGTTGGCATGGTCCTCTGCAGATCAGTGATTTCACTGAAATGTCATGGAAATGTTTACTGCACTAAGAATTTTATCTTCAAATAACAGATATTCCAGGGAAACAAAACAACAGTTTTTAAATAATAGAGAAAATAGACTTAATCCTCCTAAGTAAATAAAACTAGTACAGAAGTTTTATAAAGGCTTTACTTGGTGATTTGGTAGAATGTGACAAGTCTGTTTATGCTTGCTGAAAGAAGTATTTGAAAAATTTTTTTTTTCAGGAGCATGTCTAATGGATCGAGATGGAAGCCTGTTTAAATATCTTTTGGATTATCTTAATGAAAAAGTTTAGATTCCTGAAGATGAACAAATCTGAATTGCACTGCAGGAGGAAGCAGATTATTTTGGCATCTCTTATCCATACGGCCCGTCTGACCACTTGGCTAGTAAAATGGAGATATATTCTTTAAGGTCAAATACAGAGCTTAGGAGGGTCTTGACATTTCTTATTTTTTCAAAAAATGTACTCTAATCCACACCATTCATTAGCAGCAGATAGTAAAATTACAGTATATGCAAGTTAGCACTTTTTAATCACCATGTTAAATCACTAGTAAATTCAGAGTTTTAGTTTAAGAAATCCTAGAGTTGGTTATGCAGTCATAGTAGTTAAGGACATCAGGTTTTCCCATCATTTCAGTATAGCAACAGTTTAAATTTGACTCTGTTTTACATGCAAGTCTGCTGTAAAACTTGCATGGTAGGTATCACATTGTTTAGTTCCCTATTTGGCTTCAAATTTTACTAGAGATTAGATTTGATTCCTTCAAGATCCTTGGGTTTGGTTTTTTTTTTAGTTTTAAAAATTAATCCTAAAACTTGAGAGATAAAATGTACTTTGCCATTTTTTTTAGAACAAGAAAGGAGAAAAGAAAATGAACACAGCATTAAAATATTCAGACCTTGGGATTTTAAGAGTATGGTCACTTAAAAGCTAATTCTGATTAACTGATTGGAAATTAACTCATATTACTAGGTATAGCTGTGTTAGTCCTGACAGTCATCATGTTCTCTTAGTAAGCTACTTCATGTATTTCATATTCTCCCTTATTAATTTTTTTTTGAAAAGCATAAAACATTTCCAGGCCTCTCAGTTGCTCTTTGTATTAGGAATTTGCCATGCTTTTCAGTATTTCTGTTGCCTTTCCATGAATTTCTCCTAGTTTTACACTATTCTTTGTTAACATCAGATAGGAAATACTGCAGATGTTATTCTAGGTAAACTACATCCTTGATTTACTTAAAAGAGCTCACTAGTACGGCTCAGAAAACTTAAACATGAAAGCTTACTCAACTAAAAAAATATTGTATTCTTATTAATAATCTGTAATTTTGTGGTTTATCTTTTTTCACAGGCTTTGTTAGATTTCTGTGATTCTTATGATTTTGTTTGTACCAAGCTTACAGTTTGAGTCCTGCACTATCTCAAGACTTCTGGAGCAAGCTCTGAAAGTAAAATTATTGGCATGTATGCCACAAAGGCTGATGGGACTGATGCAATTAGTAAGGAGCTAGGAGCAGAAATTCATAGTAAAAGCATTTACAAAGGTAAGACAGCTGGCAGACACAAGAAAGCACCATGAGGAGAGAATGAGCACTATAATAACAAATATTATTACATGTAGCATAATATAGCATTATTGTACAATAAATCTGGAAGGAATCAGATTATTTCCAGCTTTGAAAACAGCTGGCTCATACAATGGTCACATTAAACAAACAAACAATCAAAAGATAAAAACTAAGCATGGAGTACAGGAATTTGAGAGTCCACAGAAGGTAGCTGGCATGCAGTTACTGTAAGTTCTCATTACATTTTACTTGAGATTTTTAAAATGTCTCAACAATTTAAAATTACTTCCTAATTTAGGATGATGAATGTATCCCTGTCCAGAAAAAGTTCCAGAAATATTCATAAAGTTGGTTATGATTAATGGAATTGTATTTCACAGTCCTCTAAGACAGCTGAAAGAAATTTAACACTGAAAAGAACTGGAGATGAAGGGAAATGGTTTTAATTCTTTAAAGGACGTGTACATCCCTACTACACTATTAATGTATGACAGGGTTTGAAAGTTAGTGGTAGAGCTGTACTCCTGAGCACCTAAAAGCAATTTGTCTTTCTTTTGGTCCCACAGCAGAGTGTCTGATTTCATGTACCTTTTAAACCGTGATTAATATAAAGCTTTTGATGTTCATCATCTTTATGACTGAGGTGCTTATTTTCCTAAATTTAGGCTGGGAACATTAATATTTATTCCAAGAGTATTTGGACACTGTCAGATATCTGTTCTCCTACTGTGTTTTCCCTCTGAATAAATGATTGAGATTTAGAAGAATAGATTTTACACCATTAAATCTGTAACTATCCTTTTATGAATGTCTATTCTGTCATGAATATTCATTTTTACCTATTTAGACCCTCTTATACAAATAAAGAAAAAAAAAAAAGCAACATTTTCCTTTCTACTTTACAAAGCATTTGCTATTAAATCCTTACTTGGTAAAAAGAATGATACATTTAATCAGTGTTACGTTTCTAAAGGCTTAACTAGATTTACCACATTACTGGTCCCTGGAAAACAGTACTTCTAGAGAAGCTGGAAAAACCATCCACTATATCTGGAGCTATTACTCAGTAGCTGAGTTGAAACCAAAACTAGGGCAGGCCACAGAGGAACACATACAGAGAAGGAGACTCCACAACCTCTCTGGGCAGCCTGTTCCAGTGCTCTGTCACCCTCACAGTACAGAAGTTTCTCCTCATGCTGAGGTGGAACTTCCTATATTCTAGCTTATACCCATTATTCCTCGTCCTACTACTGGGCACCACCAAAAAAAATCTGCAAGTCTGAATTTCCTGCAGGCTGAAATTTCCTCAAGTCTGTATGTTCCCAAGTTTCCTGGAAGTCTGCAATTTTCTTAACATTTCACTTCTCTAGGTTACCTAAGGAGGCAGCAGCTGGTACATTTGCACTGATCAACTCTGGTACACTGTATGTGCATATTGGGTGGCTTGACTGGGAAAACTACTATAGGTGAGCTACAGTTTTACAGATGGATTAGATGCACTGTCAAGTAGTGTGAGAAAATTTTACAAAGATTCAAAGTAAACCAATCATTCATTACAGAAGAGCACACGTTCAGAAATGACCATGTTCAGAAAGTTTCTCCTATTTAGCCATCTAATAATTACCAGTATCTAATGGCTGCACTTGAAAAGCTGACAAATGTGTCACCAGTGTAGTCTGATGCATTAATTTTTCTCAGAAATGCTGTAATTTTTCTAGTTTAGTTCTCATTTCCACCCTACTGTCTTCCCAAACCAATGATATGGCATCATACGGGTTAAGGACGCAGAAAAATATGATTCCAAGTTAAATTTCTAGAAAATGACTCCTCTGTGATTACACATGTGCTTGTGATGCAGAGGGTCTATTATTACCAAGAAGTTGAAAAGCTTACAAATGTGTCACCAGTGTAATTTGATGCATTAATTTTTCTCCAAAATGCTGTAATTTTTCTAGTTGTTTAGTTCTCATTTCCACCCTACTGTCTTCCCAAACCAATGATATGGCATCATACGGGTTAAGGACGCAGAAAAATATGATTCCAAGTTAAATTTCTAGAAAATGACTCCTCTGTGATTACACATGTGCTTGTGATGCAGAGGGTCTATTATTACCAAGAAGTGATTCCAGTAGATGTAATTCTATCTGCGTGCTTCAGGGTATGAAGAACTCATTTGTACTTGATGTAAGCAAGCAGACATTATTTCATGTGATAGGCACATGTTACCACTGATCCTCAGGGAGAGTTGTCATCAGGCTTGTTTTTAGCTGAAGAGCCATGAAAATACACAAGCTACCGCTTTTTTTTCTTGCCCCCAAACTTTTTCAGTTATTTCCTTACCAATTCTTCCAGAGCAGAGAAGTGCTCTTTTAAAATGGCTTACACCGAACTGGTTAGATAATAACGTAGTTCAAATCTTACCATGGCTAAAAAGAAATACTAACATTATCTCAGAGAGTTAGCAGATCTCACCTGCTTCGTTCTTCCTGAGGCATGAAGGACAAATTCTCACTTGATAAAAACAAGAGGCCAGTTTTGCCATCAAAAGCTTGGGATTGAAGCCATCTGTCCCTTAGCTGCAGATACAGACCAAAGCACGGTTTGAAGTAAAACTCTGTAAATACTCTGTGGCAGTAAAGCTCCACAATAATAGGCATTAATTTTGAGCAACAGCTTTTATAAAAGATGTTAAGCAGCAGAAACAGGTAAAGCCGCATGTTCAGACCTTTATTCTTTCTGAGCTTTGTGGGTATAAAAGAATTTTCTTCTTGCCAAAAGCATCTGGCCGTTTATACCAGAACTGATCACGCTCGGCTGAAAATTACTTTGCCAATTCATGGGGTCACGTGATCAACTGTGTAGTGTGCCCAGAGTCTACATTAAGGATTTGGCCCTTTTCAGAGTTGCCCCTTTCCTATCTTTTCACTCATTCTAGTCTCTGGTACACCATATGTGAACATTTTAGCACAGTTTGTTTTATTAGTTTGCTGTAATAAAATAGCTGTATTGTCTCAAATTTCTGTTACACCCTCAAGGGTGTGATAGGCAGTGGTACTGGAACCTGAGATATATGGATCCCACGGTGCCTCTGCCATAGTCACAAGTATATGAACAGGAAGGATGCAGCTGATTAATAAAATCTTGATGCAGCCCAGTCACTACATGGGGAAACAGACTCCCAGGTAACTGCCATCCATTCCAGCTCAGACCAGATGTTCCTCTGCAACAAAAGGGTCCAGGAAGCTGCTTCAAGATCAGTGTTTCCCTTCCAGAATTATTAAGTTTCTCTTTGAGGGTAACTTTTCAAACACATTGATTTTTTTTTAAGCTTTTTTCCCAAACACCTAAATAATGGATGTTTTCCAAATAGCTTGGCTGTGTTACATTACCTCTTTAGTTTTCCAGCTGCTATTTGGTCCTTTATTTTGCCGAGTTCTGCGCTTACCCTGACTTTAATCTTACACAGACAATAAACAGACCCAGCCTGCTTGAAAATACTGCCCTTTAAGGTGTGTTTCCACTTTGAAAGAGTATACAAAGTGCAGTGGGAATTCCATGTTTGTGTCTGAGTGATGCCAAACAGCTGTATTTGCTTTGCAAATTGAGGGCGCTTTTTAAAAAAAGAGGTCTGGTGGTGTCCTGCCCTTAATTCCCTCACTAACCCCTGTACAAATCCCTTAGATTAAAACAAGTATCATACATAGCTAGCTCTGTAATTAGAAAACAAAAGTTCTGTTGAAACTGGGCCCAAGAGCTTTTGATTACCAACAAGTATTGTGACCAGTAAAACACCCCTAGAAATCGGCAGACGCAATTCCAAGCATACAGAGACACAAGAGATGCAGATAGTGTTCTGACACAGCTACACTGCAGAGCACAGCCATGTAATGTAGCTAACCCCTGTACTGCAATGCTGAACCACACCTGGGCAGTGTGCTAAGACTGCAGCGTTCCTGAGCCAGCCCATTCCCCAGCCAAACCAAATGTGTGTGCATCACAGCTTGAAGAGAAATGCTGTCTCACCTGCTAGTCCTGGGCCTGTCACAATACTGAGCCTCCAGCACATCAAAGGGGAGCTGGAACTGAAGACCATAAGGTGGTCCTATTATGCTAAGTTATGACTTATCTCACAGATTTTATTCATGTGCAGGAGCCTGCTTACGAGAAGCTGACTTACAGAATAGAACAACTTGCAATAATCCTGTCAAGCAACGAAGCTATAAGGAAGGAGTAAAAGTCATTATAGATAAGTTACTACTTTTTTTTTTTTTTAGGAGGTCACAAGAAGAGATATATATCATCTTATATCAATATAGTAAGATGCCTGTGTAGTATCTACATGGAAATGACAATTATATCTCTCACAGCGAGGTTACAGGTCAAACTGTAAGGCAGCAGATAAATGTTGAAAATCTACCTATCTGATGAGAGTCCACAACAGACTCTGGCATTTCAGAAATTCCATTACTCAAAACATTCAGCTTAGAAGTGTGATAGGTAACTAGGATAGAAGCAGTGCTTGCAATACTAAGAAAGCCAGTGTTCACTTATGCATGTTTATTTTTCTTTCACCACCCTTCCAGATGAATAAGTGATTATTTCTTGAGACTGAGGTTTTACCAATATTCACATGTGGAAAGGTATAAAGAGAAATAAGAATAATCAAAATCACCCATAAGGAATGCTTCTCACTTTACACTTTTAGATTATATTTCAAAAGGCCACAGAGAAGTAAACCAGTCAATACTCGGGAAGTGTGCAGTCAACTAATAGAAATCAGGCAGAGGAAACTGGCAAAAAGCAATAGCAAACAGTAATCTAAGAAGAAACTTTTAAAGATACTCAAATGTCCTGCTCTTACTGACCTCAGGAGGCAGGGAGGTCTCACTGAACTTTTACACTTTTCTGATTCTGACACTTAGGCCACTAGTTCAAAGTATGCCCAGGTGGTGGTGGCTGTCATGGAAAGGTTGTTCCATGCACTTGTGGCATTAGAATCTAGCTAAAAGCAAAAGCCTAGTCCAATCCAAAGTCAGCTGAAAGCCTCCCACTGATAACTGCTCAATTACGGCAATAAATTTGAATAAGATCACATAGGCACTGCAATGCAGCAAACACCAGAATATTGTAGAAAGAAGACTTTAATTTTTTTTTTTTTGAAGAAACAGGTTTTCTGAGATACAGAATCAGAACATTAAGACTAAAATTTTTATTTTAATAAAAAAGTCAGAAGGACGTAGTATCTGCTCAAATATGTACCTCCACATTGTGCTGCATGTTGCTCTAACAAATTTCTTAGTCATAGCTCTTGTTATGGACAGATGGTTCCTACAGAAAAAATATAGAAAAATAATTTGGATTCAAGTCTAGAACACCTGCAACTTTTCATATGCAAAAAAAAAAATAAATCCAACTAATCATAGAAAAAAGTGGCTGATCAGGATGGAGAATAAGGCTGTGTGTCTGAATAGCCATGACTATACACATTCCAAACTTAAGAAACAAGCATTTTAATTCAGCCTCATAAAAATAGTTTGTCAATGAAAAATACCAATATGTAATACATTCAATACAATTTATACAAGATCTCAGATTATGGAATAATAAACTAAAATCAAATGTACTGCTTTTTCAAATGTTCTTGTATATAGCAATACTGTGTATACAATGTGCATGCATGTACGTGTATACACACACAGAAAGAAAGAGGTGTATAGAGATTTGCTGAAAAATTCTACAAGATTATCTGATTTCATTGCAGACCACAGCATACAGACTTCCTGGGATCCTTCTAACACAGGCTGCTCTAAAAAACACTAATGTTGACTCGTATAACCACATATCTACAACAGGTTTTTGCTATTATGAATTGAATTATAAATTTATTTTTCCAATCTAGATTTCATTTTTCTAAGAAGTAAATGCTGCTTTGGTAAGATTCTGTACGGTCATGACAAATTAACTGTGAACGTATTAGGCAGAGCCTTGAAAGTATGAATTAATTTTCATAATTAGCAAGTAGTAAAGATACCAACAACTTTTAAGCAGCAACAGATTTAAAATGACTATGTTCCGAGTTATCTTCTTCACCAACAAGCATCTTGAGCACGAAAATAAAACGAAGAGATTGAATTTCTCTGCCTGCCGTCACCGTGACGCTCAAGCCACCAAAGTCACAGCTGGCACTGAGAGCACAGTGGCCTCAGCAGAGCCCTCCATCCTGGCAGGACACAGGTTGCACTGGGAGGCCCTGCCCACACCGGCAGGCAGCGGCCTGCGCTCCGTGCTGTGCGCCGCGGGCTGCCTCCGCCGGCTCTTCTCCGCCTGGCCCAGGTTCTCTGCGGTCCTGGCAGCTGTGGACTGCTCTTGGTTTTTCATAGCGCCTTTATTTTTAGGTCTGAAGCTGTTATGCTGCTGTCTTCTGTGTTCAGACCTGGAACCACTCTTTGCATTATTTTGATCTGCCTCGTTACTGGCACCTTGTGATTTAAGGGACCCGTTGAGCCGGACATTCTGGTGCTGCGGGTTGAATCTTCGTCTCTGGCTAGAAGGCCCGTTCTACCCAGAAAGAACATTGGATACCTGTTAGGTTATCTGAATGGTTCCAACAGGACAAGAAATACAGCAATCACAATTAGCAAAAATTGCAGAATAAAATTTTCAGAAAGAAAACACTGTAGAATTTTGATTGTTGCTGAATCAACTCTTAAAAACTGAACTGAGTAACATGCTGCATCTGAACAGCCTCGAAATCTACACGGCAGGTTCTCCACTGATGCCAAATTGAAGTCTGCCATGATTTAAGTGGATACAGAAAAGGGGATGAAATTAAATTAGACGTGTCAACAGCAGCATTTAAGAAATGCTCAGGAACTTGATACTGACTGATTTCTTCCAAATTCAGAAAAATTATTTCCTAGTAAAGTACTGTGAAAATACTACAGTAAGACTGCAGAAGAACAGAAATTCACACGTGAGTTAAAGGCAAGCTAAGAATCCACATGGTGGGAAGGATGCCCATTGGGATACTTTGCTCAGAGGAAGCTTTGGTCCTCAGTGGGAAGTGGCTGAATGCTTTGCATAACTGCCAGGGCAGCTGATTCCATACATGCACTGGCATTATGTAGCGCTCCTGTGTTTCCCTTCAGGCACCTACTTGAGCCTAAAATCTCCTGGGACAAAATTCAGACCAACTTCAGTGGCAGCTTTACCTAAGTACAGTAGTACAAGAACATTCTAAGATGTTTTTATAACTAAGTAGCTACCAATATAGCACAACACTAAGCTCCATGACATGGCTTCTGAAATAACATGCTTTTAAACCTGTCAGGATTCCACTTTCAAAATCTATCTAATAATCATGCTTCAACAGCACATGAACTGATCATTCGTCAAGGACAAGGAATAAATGTTTCTCTGTCGTAGCACAGAACACATTTAGCTATTATGGAAGGCTCTTTTTCAGTATATTAACTGCCAGGAGTCACTTCTGCACACCAGAGAGTGGTCTTTGCTGGTATGGCATTTCTGGTACCTCCACCTTCTATGTTCACACTACCGTGAAAATGAAGCTGGAAAATACACACATGCATATTTTCAAACATTACTAATTAAATATATGGACTGCAAACCAATATTTGATTTTGTATTAGCAACTTTCAATGCTGCATATTTTTCTGAGATTTTAAAAATAATTTAGTTCAGAACTGGTTGCTTACCTGCTTATTTGTCACAGTTCCTTGGGAAGAAGATTCTGTAGGACTGGAAGAAAGGTGACTTTGTATTTTAGCATTGGCTGTTTTATTATCAGAGTTCCTGGCGTTACTAGAGGACTTTCGGGTGTTTTGCTTGCCAGTTGTTGCACGTGAGTTCATTGAAGACAGCACTGAACTACATGGTGTTCTTGAGGAATAGTTGTTCTTTGGGTGAGAAACTATAAAAAAAGTATTCTGTGTTACCAGATAAATGACTGACATGTAAACATAAGGCTGTATTCTTAGCCTGCTTACAGTTTGGGAGCATTGTTCCAGCCTTACTTTAAACAATGAAGCACGCCAGCTAACTAAGACCAGAATTAGGCTGTAGTGTTTTACTTCTGTGAAACTGCCTTATCATGAAGCACTTCTGGAGACAAAAGAGCCAGTGTAGTGGAACTGGCTAAAACTGGAAGGAGCCTGGCAGAGGGCATGGCTCTGGTCAGCCACAGAAACTTTTCACAACTCATGGCACCTGTTGGTTTGCTTGGGAACCTTTAACGGGTTACACTGAGCACATGTGCTGTCAGGACTGCCCCACACACTGCTGTCCTGTCAGTAATGCTCCTGCTGGGAGCCTGCAGGCAACAAAGGAAGACACATGGGAAGGAAGTGAGTGGTATGGCAGTAACTCGACTGCTTGAGGTCAAAGGAAGTTGTGCCTGCAGACACCACAGACTACATTTGATTCCAAATCTGATCACAGAAGGCTGACGAGGCTGATGCCTGCTGTCTGTATATGCACTAGCTACACAGGTAACAGCCATGAAAGCTTCCTCTAAGTATTTTTTTAGAAGGAAAAAGAAAAGCCTAATGCTTGTTGCTCATTCCTCTTTAAGGAGATGGTTAATAAAGGTTCTTCCGTACTATGGTTATCTATAAAAACTGGAACTGAATGCAATGCACTAATGCACTTCATCTAGATCATGGCAGTCAGCACCATCAGGAAGCACTACTGCTCATCTCAGTACATTCCCGCTCCCTACTTCTTACTATTTTGAAACTCTCCAATTTCTTAATCATTTCCATGTTTGGATGTGAAATGCACCAAACAGGTCCTTGATTCCTACCTCTCTGCATTTCCAGAAGCTCTTCAAGCTTCCTGCTTCTGTGCAATGGCCCCTAAGCAATCTCAGGGAGGACTCTGAGGCTACTGAAGTGAGGTTTATCTTAATTTGCTGTTCTAATGTTTATAATTATGGAGTTTTCCTTTTTCCTTCTGGTACACATGAGAAACCAGAGGCTTGCTTCAGTGACACTTGATTCCTACCTCTCTGCATTTCCAGAAGCTCTTCAAGCTTCCTGCTTCTGTGCAATGGCCCCTAAGCAATCTCAGGGAGGACTCTGAGGCTACTGAAGTGAGGTTTATCTTAATTTGCTGTTCTAATGTTTATAATTATGGAGTTTTCCTTTTTCCTTCTGGTACACATGAGAAACCAGAGGCTTGCTTCAGTGACACACCTGTTGCCTGTTCTGATGTTTATAATTATGGGGTTTTCCTTTTTCCTTCTGGTACACAGAAACCAGAGGCTTGCTTCAGTGACACACCTGTCGTTTCATCTAAGAGGTATTTTTATTTTTCCCATTTTAATACAGAGAAAGAATCTGTGGAATAATTTTAGCAACTGACCATCATGTTAAGCTTCTTGAGGCTCCTGTTCACTGACACCAATATCAGCTATTTCTCCCACTAGGTGTCCTCTTCAGAAAAACAATGCAATCCCCTGCACAATGAACTTGCATTTTCTGTCCTAAATGCTCTCACTGAATTCTACTGCTCTCTCTTGCCTAAAATAGACTGCTGAAACATGGAAGCCCATATAAAAATCCTGACGCTTGTCATAAAAATGTATTTTTAATAAAAAAGCAGTACAAGGAAGGGGTACGAGCCACCACTGGGCATTCTGGATATATGTCAGTCCCATTAGTTTGGTTTCTTCCTGTCCTTCATTGTGAGATTATGCTGCCTACCCTCTTCCCATGCTAGAGCATGCCCTCCTTTGCACAACCTCTGTGGTTTCAGTTATTGCTTTTGTTAAAGCCCTGGGCAGTGGCTGTTCTTAGCTACAGGCCTCTGTTTGAAGGGTATTTTCAGTTCCTAGCAGGGAATGGGCCTCATTGTGAGATGCTCCCAACAAAAACATCTTTTGCACTGAAGAGCTCCTATCAAAGACACACCAACCGCACGAGCTGCTCATCTAAGGTCACTGAGGGCAGATCAGAGCCTGAGTTCTTCAGATGGCCAGTGTGCTCCCAGTAACTCCTTCCCTGCTAATAGCCCTGCTGTTGACTTCACTGACCTGATTTCAACAGGTCTGCACCAAACTGTGCTTGAGTAATGCTCTACTGAAATGATGTAGAAATAATTAACTTGCAGAATTAACTGCAGCTGGGAGTTATTTAGGAAAGTAGTTCAATGAGTTTAAAAAAAAAAAAAGTCTCTGGTTGTATCCCAGCAGCTGTGGTTATATTAGTCAGGATCATCTTTACAGAATTTTCAGTCTCTTAAGCTTCAGGGTATGAGGTAGGGCCTGTGAGGTAACTGTGAGTAATTAGATGCATTACCGGGCAGCTTATGCCTTCCATGGAAACATCCTGGGCTGCCTTCAATGGCAGACAGGACACAGGGTTCAATGGCTCTTCAAAGTTTTCTGCAAAAGCAATTCTTATGGTCTAATGAATTCAACTGGTTAGGCCTCAGGAGTCAGCTCTTCAGCTGTGCAGTCAGGAGGTCATGTTGGCAGGCTATGTGGTATTTTTTTCTTCCTTTTCTATTTCTAGTAACTCCTTGAAAACATTATTTTTCTTCCTGAAATTGTTTTTCTTCCAGCAAGATGCAGTAGTTCAGTATTGCATTAAGTTTTTCGCCTGAGCAATGGTACTGAGGATACCATGGGACAGAGTAATATCTAGAGCAAAGCATTACAGCATATACTTTTTTTTTTAAAAAAAAAAAAAAGCCATGACAAAGATGAGGAATAGGCTATGTCATATTTTGCAACAGGGACATGATACCTGGAGCAGAATATGAGCCTGAATTTCAAGCAGGGTGGCAGACAATTTAGAAACAGGAACATTTTGGACTACCTTTAGCTCTGGAAATACCCAGTGAGGAGTGTTTTAAAGCTAAGGAGTTACTTCCTAGCAGGAGAGATCAGAATTGGTCCTATGATGTTATGTGTACACAGAGGAGCTTCCAATTTACTAGATATTCATAAATTACTGAATCTGAGCATTCCCCAGATCTGACGTTTATTTCCACTTGGAAATCCTGTTTAGATAGAAAATTCCAACTGATCTGAGCAATACCTGTCAAACTCTGACAAGGGCAGCACTGTGCACATGCAGCTGGCCTGTGCAGCACAAGCACAGTGAGTCTAAGGTGCAGCATGCTGTAAAGTTGAGCTGTGCATGCTCTGCAGGCCTGCTGCATCCAGAGGCAGCATTCACATCAGGCTTGCTGCACACACACGGGGGCAGCACACGTGCCATTATTTCTGCCACCATTTCCTGAACAGATATGTGGAACAAGAACTTTGGTGTGAGTAATCACCAGCACCTACTTTCTCCACAGAGCTGGATTTGGGTCTTCAGCTGTTCTGTGTCACAGGAAAATCGAGCAGACCTGCCCAGCTCTTCATCATATTTCCGTTCACTCACAAAGTGCTGCAAAAATACAGACAAGTTAACAGTGGTTTGCATTCTGAGCAAAAAGCTATATGCATGGTAAAGCCAATCAGTACTTAAGCTCACTTTATGGCTCAGCAAAATCTTGACTCCTGTACACAGGATCTCTGTGCAGACCAAGTATCTTCCCATCCTTACCAAACACCACGTCCCACAGCCCAGCGGTGGATGGATGACTCCTGCACTTGGGGAGCGAGTCACTTGGTTGGAGTATATGTTTGATCACTGAACTTGAAGCTATTAGGTTTACTTCATAACTGAGTGTGATAAATGATATGCAAACAGCAAAACTCCCCACAGCTACGCTTATGAGGCAACAGCTTACACTCCTCCAGCAGAGCCTGTGTGCTGCTCAGAGAGGCTGCGATGCTACAGGGAGGTGTGCCTTCCCCATGGAAAGCTACCTGCCCTTTGGCCCACAGCAAGGATGAACAATCTGGGCATGTTAACATGACAGCCCTTTCTTGGCATTTCTGCAAACAGCTAAAATACCCAAGCAGAAGTGAATGCCTGACCTTAATTTCAGCCCTGAGTTCAGAGAGTTGTGCTTCAGCCATCTGACTGGCCAGGTCTGTCAGGCGCTTCAGCTCCTCAGCCTTCTTCTGCCGAGCAGTCAGGATTTCCACTGCCAAATGCCAACAGTCAATCATTAATGCAAGGAGAGTCAATTGCTCTGGAATTCAGTACTCTTTGGGCATTAACACTGCACATCATGTGAGACAAACACATCTCAGACCACTGACTTCAAATATGAATTCCAATATGCTGCTTGCACAAATTAAGTCAATCAGTGTTTTTAACTGCGCTGCCTGATAGTGAAGAAGATCTGTAAATGGGGCAGCTGCCAGAAAAATAGAAGTTAAACCAATCCTTTAACATTTAGACAGAGACATATTGGTTTGGGTTTTCCAGTGCTTTATTTAAGCACAAAATCAGGGAGCCTTCCATGGAGACATGGAAATAAGTATTACATTGAGTCAACAGCCTGTTTCTGAAGAAATGCTGTATTTTATTTACACAGGGGCATTTCAGTTTCTCTGAAAAAAAAAAAAATCTGTTCATATATAGTTTGTTAAAATCACCAGCATCAGAATTTTGCTTTCAAATGCAGACCAGACACAGTTACCATTTCTAGAGCAAGGTAGTATTAAAAAGGCCAATAGTCTTAATGAAAGATACTAAATATTTACTACTGCCTGTCTTGTATATTTTATGTAAGGAAGAGGTGAATAGTTATGCTCTTACAGGAAAAGATTAATCATGAACCACAAAGCAATGGTCCACTTACATGCAGGACAGAGTGACATAATTTTGGTGAAAGATTAAATACATGCAAACTCTATTACCTACGTGGTGGTTCAGTGTAAAAGCAACAACTGATTAATTGGCTGGTGGGATCAGCACTTATGGCAGAGAGGAAAAATAGCATCTAAGTGTAAAATAGTAACAATCAGTGTCTTTTGTCTAGAGCTTATGCCTACAGTCAGAGTGAGTGGTCATTGTTGGAAACCACCCTAAGGCCACAGACTCCATTACAGCTGTGGACATTGGCTTCTTTACCTTCTGCCACAAATCGCTAGGGCAGACGTGGCAAGTCACCCAGCCAGCTCATACTTTGTAATGCCATTTTTTAGGTTAGAATTAATGATACTTCATAGAGCTTGTTTCTCAACCCATTATAATTTATTTAAACAGATGGCACCTTCTTTGGAAAGTATCATAGAACAGCAGTTGGAAGGGACCATTAAATGTCACCTAGTCCAACCCCCCTGCAGCGAGCAGGGCCATCTTCAACGAGATCAGGTTGCCCAGAGCCCTGGCCACCCTGGCCTGGAATGTTTCACAAATTAAGGCTTCTACCACCTGTCTGGGCAACCTGTTCAGTGTTTCACCAAGTGGAGCATGGTCCAGCAGGCACAGGCAGACAGAGCTGCAGCTGTACAGCTGTGTGGGAGCAACCAAACCATATGACAGAGAAGCCTGTGGCTCCCAGGGCAGGGAAGGCAGAGGGTGGCTGCAGTTCCTTTAGCCCTGTTGGTAAACCTGTGCCTACAGTATCACTTATGCTAAGAACAGCTGTGTATCTAGCTCTCTAGCTCATGTTTTAATTCCATTTTTGTGGAATACAGCCTATGAATATGAGAAACTTCTAACAAATTAAATGAACAGTTTACTAGCTGTTCTGCCCTGTCCAATAGTTCTGCTTTATTGCTTATTCTGGGTAATGCTAATATTGTTTCTCCCCAAAGTCAGCATCCCCTTTGCTGAAATGACTGCCCAAATCATATGACCTCATCTCATACTGGCACACATCTCGGCATGAGATGCCAAGCAATTACCCTTTTTAAAAAAACTCTGGAATTACCATATTTGGAAGTTTTCCCAGTATTGACAGTAAGATTACCCACTGTAAAATAGTCCTTCGGTGCAGCAAGAGAGATGTGAAAAAAATAATAATGTAAATCTTGGTTAGCAAGTTAGTCCTGTAACAACTTTCTGCCTAAAGTTCTGAAGGTGCTTTACAAGCCTGCAGCAGCCTTGAGAGGCAGCAGAAACTACACTGTGAGGATGGGCACAGGGGCCACCCAGTGTCACGTGTGGAGTGGGCATGAAATCAGGGAAGAAGAACCTGCCATGTGCAAATGCAGCACTTTGTGTGTCTGTAGGTTAGAATTAGGTTTACTTTCCACAAAAAATTACTACTGTAAGATTAACTGAAGGGGCCCTGTGATACCATCAGCCCTGGATGGTGGATTTACCAAAATGTGGGTTTTTTTATGCAGTTAGTGCTTAGATCCATGTCTACTGCTATCAACAGGAATTTTATCATTGGTTTTCCTGGGAGGGAGCACGTGCCCTGGAGATCATTATGGCTCCCTGGCCTCTGCAGGAAACCAGGGAACTCCTCCCCAGAATGACACAGAGCTCCAATGCCACTTCTGTTTCATGGTAGTACTAGAAAAGTTAGCATGCAAAATTCCAAACACAAACTAATGCTAATCTTTGTTGTAAGAACTCATGGCTTTTAGTTCCACACATATTCAACTGCAAGAGACTCAGCTAGCAACAGAAGATTTATTTTTTTTTTTTAAGAAAAAAATTAATCAGTATACATTTGTGAACTAAGTGAGAGTTCTAAATGCAAATGAAGCAATCAAGAACGCTACATGCATTTGTGACCCTACTAGGAAGGCCCTTGAAGTCACAAATCAGTAAAGGTTTGTATGCATAGACAGCAGTGATATTTTCATCTGTCAGGCAGAATATCACTGTAACAATACTTCAATTACTCTTCAGTTTCTTGCTCAGCACTCCCTATTGAAACACATCCCCTTGACTACTGGGCTATGAATACCATATCTCAGATGGGCTATAAAACACACTGTGGTATCCTAATACCATGGCTCATCTTGCTTGGGTTTTTCCTCAGAATATACATACACCTTAGCTATGCAAAAACCAGAGACAACATGGGCGAAGCCTGGAATCAGATCAACTCCCACAGATTATTAAGAAAACAGATTCCAGTAAACATCTGGGTTTTGATTTTTTTATTGTTCTAATTCATAATCTTGATCACTATCCCTTAAAGCTATGCAAGGCCACACAATAACCTATTCCCCTAGTAATTTCCAGGATTTGAGCTTGTATGTAATATAAGCAAGCAAACAGTGATTAAGAAATGGAAACCAAGTAATCAGTATACCATAGACATAAGAATCAAAAAAACCCCATCAGCGGGATCAAAAGCTCTGATAAGTAAGCAGAAGGAATAAATAATTTACATCTGATTTCATATTAACTTTTGGTTTATCTTACTTCCATAATACTGGAATTTTGATGTGCAATCCTTGCAGACAGAAGCTATCCCAGAACATCAAAGATCTGACTGCATACATATGCAATGGATGATGCTGGAATGATGCTAACCACATTTAAGTACAGTGTAATTTTCTGCCAAACAAATGTTTCCATGAGTATTTCAAAAGTTCCCTGTGTATTTTTTTACTTACTGGCTTCTTCTTTAACTTTATCAATTTCTGCCATTAATGACACTTCTTTGTCTACGATGCTAAAAAAGGAAAAAAAGAAAAAAAAACAAATTAATCCATGCTAGAATGCCATCAAAATAAAAAGCTGTAACTACAAAAAAACTTTAGTTATGGACAGTTTTGAAATTAGTCAGACTTAAAAAATGGAAGCTGAAGAAACAGGTAAATTGACTACAAAAAATGAGTGATAATTAGGATATGCTGATTTACACAAACATCTCACTGACCTGTCCACGTCTTTGCACATATGTGGAAGTCATTTTGATTTACCTCTTCAGGCCTACATAGGCGCAGAAGCCCTCAAATGAATAAAGAGTCTGTTTCCTAATTGAACCAAACAGACCACTGCTGTTACCCAGCTTAACTCTCAGTGCAATATTAAGAATAAAACAGAATTAAAACTTTGTGGAAAGAGGTCTCCCTCTTCTCTAAATGGAGATATTATTGCTAAATGTGTCAGGGTAACCAAGAAAATGGTTTGTGATATAAACAAGCATTCATGTATTTCCATAATAAAGATCAGCTTCCTCGCCTCCCGTTCTCTCCAGGTCTGGGCAGGTGTGGTTCCACTTTTACCTGGCCTTCCTAAAGGTCATACCTGCCCCTCCTTTCACAAATCTCTGGTGCACAGTCCCTGACAGTGCTTTTAAACTGTCAAAGTGCAAACTGATCAGGTGGGTCTTCTGAGAGCAGACAGCAGGCCTGGTGAACTGCTCACATCAACACCCCGTGACATTGTTTGGTGAAGTAATGCCACTGCAGCGTGCTCTCAGAGCACAGTGCTCTGCTGTGCCCTCCGCTTTCCCCTCACTGGGTTATCCTCAGCCATGTTCACACTGGATAAAACACCACCAATGCTAATGTCTGCACAAGTGAGTAAACTCGGGCAGCTGGGGGTAAATCACAAAGTAGGTCAAACACCAGGAGTAAATCCAGGCACACACTCAAGGGAAGAATGGAGCTCTCACGCTTTCAGTAAAATCATCCTTAAACGTCAGCTTTTGTACTCAGTGAAGACACTGAGTTTTAGGTGAACTAGCTTCCACCAGAAGGAAGACGTTACAGAAAACTCAGGAACAGAACATTTGTCTAGGATCCCCTTAGTAGTAAGTGTAAGATCCTACAGAGTTCAGTGGGCAGCAGTCAAAGAAGACTGACAGAGGAGAGAAGGACTGATGAGTTGTTAACTAAAGCAGGGAAAAATTAGGGAGCAGGGAAATATTACTACATGTGGGGAACACATGGCAGACATACAGCTGACTCAACCAGAAGTTTACCAGCTAGATCATGTTCAAGTATGACGCAGCTGTCCTTGAAATCTTCCCATAAATTGACCAAGCCTATACAGGAGGTTTGAGCAGAAGTTCTGCAGAGTCCCACCCTTGCCACACCTCTAGAGGATGAGAGGCCACTACCTTTTACGGTGCCTCCCAACAGCCAGCAAGAGGGGGACAGAAGCAGGCTGGCTGATGGCAAAGGATGCAGCAAGACAATAAAACTGCAGTGTAACACATTTTCCTGTTTCATACATATAAACAAGACTAAAAATATTGTTTAGGCCTGCCAGATCAATTTAGTGTGACCCACACACCGGAGGAAGTAAGCCAGCAGGGATTTTAATGGTAGAGCAAATCAGTTAAGAAGCATACACTTACAATGAAAGGACACACTTGATCCTGTTGGCCCTCAATATTCTCCAGGCATAAGCATTAAGCTTGGACTCCAAATATGCAGGTGATGATTTCATCTTGCTAATTTAAACTGTGATAGCTTTCCAGAATTAATCTGGTTTTAATTAGCTTTTGTAACTACATGGTATAATGAATTTCTTTGGCTTTCTCAGCAGGTGGCTGAAACTACTCTTTTAAGTTCTTACTTGTTTCTACCCTCTACAAAAAAAAAGATTTTAATGGTCTTTAGAATTTTCGTCTAAATTTAAAAACCCTGCACATTTTTGCTTTTGCTGCCTGTTACAAAAGCGCCTCCCTCGTGTACTACACAGGTTATACAAACATCAACTTTTGGCTGAAAAAAATATTTAGGAACAAGCTCACAACAGCAGAGCTCATCAGAACTGTTCTGGCCCAGTTCATTCCATGACCATCCTCTCCCCACACCAGCAATAGATCCTTGCTAAACTGCTTGGCTCCTAGCATTTTTTTTTTTAATGCCAAAAAACCCCACTTTTAATATCAGAATGAGAACAAGCCAAAGCACTCCTATATTTATTATATTTTATAGTCAGATCTCATCTGTTACCAGACAGACAGCTTTCCACTCCTAATGTTTTCATGTAATCTCTGATGAATTTGATGAAGAACAACAACCTGAATACTTCCTTTGTACCTACAAACTAATATTGGGAAAACTCAAGAATAGAACAAGATAAAAAGTATTTGGTGCCTTTGTCAATATAAGATAAGTTAATGTGATAAAAAACCCCTTAGTTTAATGGGCAGATCTTCATGGAGTTGCCCTTCTCTAAAGACAATGCAGCTGTACTAACTTATACCATTTGAGGACATGGTCTCTCCCTGTCTCCAAAAGGCCAGGAACATAGTAATTCTCATCTGGAAATGTACAGCCACTTTTATCATTGTTAACATCATAATGGGGGAAGTTAATATGTCTTTAGGAATGTCATAGGCCAACCAGTGCTAGGAAATGCTGTTTGTTCTTAGTTTTCCTAAGGGTCAGTTATTAAGGAAATGGAGGAGGAATCAATTTGATTCCTTTCTAGTGACACAGACCACTTCAGTGCAAAACTGACCAACCCCACCACCAAAAACTTGGCATTACTATAAACAAACAAAAATGCAGAGAGAGAGCTGGAAAATTAGACTGGGGGAAAAAAGAGGAAAACGAAAACAGATACAAAAGGTGAACTAAAGGCTAACAGGTATAGAAAGAGAAGGACAAGAACCCTATTGAAAATCAACACATCAAATCTTGTCTGTTGTTCATGCTAAGACCTGACTGTTTTCACATGAGGTTCAGAGAGACACTGAGGCTGAACAGCTTCCTACTGCCTGAGAAGTTTAACTGGTTTTAATGGAATTTCTGGAATAATGCCCTACTCAGCCTTGATAGGATGATCATGACCAGACCCAAGTGTGACCATTATTGAGAACTGCTCAAAGCTCAGCTCAGCAATGCCTCTTGGAACGCAGTTTCTTTCAGTATTACTCAGTGTCCACTTGATACCAAAATGTCCTGTGAAGCTGGTACATTCCAATGCTCAGCCTGCAGCCATTGCTGTGCTGTGAAGAGCTGGGTACCAGGTGCTATAGGAACCTTCTGCACACACATACCAACAGACTTGGGCTTCAGCAGAGCAAGGAACAGAATGCATTTGAGATTCAAAGACACACCAGGGAAATCATTCTGCTAATTCCTTCCTCTCCAGTTATGCTGTTTCCCTTGGGTCTTCTATAGATGTTAGGAACCAGGGTTAAAATCACAAACATGCTTCTTTAGTTGAGGTCCTAGAGATGCCATGCCCTTATCAATTTTTTCTGATTACTCCCAGCACTAATGTTTTATCAGGCTTCAGTAATCCCCCTTTCTCCTTCCCTCCAGCATCAGTACTTGAGTGTATTCCATACACCATTTGGGACCTGTAACAAACATACAGCTCTGCACCACCACTTCCCTCTCTGAATGTACCCAAATCCATGCCCTGATCATCAGCCCACAGGATCCCTTGCTGCAGTAGTATTTGTCAGTTCTGCTACAGATGTTAATTTCTTAATGATACACTTATAATACTCACTGAAACAAACACTGGGACTTAAATCCCCTCTCCCATTGACCAGGCTCGAGGACAGCTCTGAACCAAGTGAGTCATACTCTATGACTGATGCTGAAGTTAACACTCCTAGCTCTTTACTTTCTGCCTTCCCTTGCCACACCTCTTTTCTGAAAGGACCAGTTCTGTTCTTCTCTTAGCCCTCACTTTTTCAGGATCAGGACCTGGGTACCAAACTCCAGCTACTGGCATCGTATCATTGTTCACTGCAGGTGAATCTGTGGTTTGGAGCACAGGATTCAGCACTGTTTGACTTTAACAGCCAAACAGAATTTTGAGGTGTGATTCAGGAAGGAGACAGTTTTGTAGAAGGAACAGAACACGGCAGATGCTTAATGTAGAGGATGTGCAAACGGGGCAGGACACAGCCAGTGCTCATGCTGTAGAGATAAGAGATGAAGCAGGAGACTGAGCAGCTCTCCAGGATTCATTTTGCCAAAGCAGTTCTGAAGGCAAGACCATAAGTGTCCTGTTCCTGGTCAGATGGACAGTACTGGAGCCTTGTACTTATGCAGGTGGGCAGAATTCACTGTAGTATATCATGGCACAAGAGCTGCAAACACTGAGCTGCAGTAAGCTGCTGGCACAGCAATGATAGGGGTAAATTATGATGACAGCTGCCTCATTTCACAGTTTCATATTCAGAACAAATGAAAAATCTGCCCTGACATTAGTGGAAACAAATTAATCTTCTAGTTTACTACATGAAACCAAGTGCTTGCACAGTGAAAAATATAAGATATTTTCAGTCAGCTGCAATACCTCAAAATCCCACTAAAATGATTAAAGTTATTAGTGCCTCTTCTGAAAAGCTGCTTCAGATTGCCAGGATGGCTGATTTATAGCTTTACTGGTGAAAATCACAAGGGTTCCAGATGACCAGAATCTTCTCTTTCCTTCTGCCTCTTCTAGGCATTATGATAAACCTATTGTGCCTGAAGAGATGGGGAAATAAAAAGACCAAGCTGACATGGAGGCACACATGCCAACACAACTCACAAAGGTAAGCCACAGCTGCATGGCACAGAGCTTACTGCTGAGTGTCATTTTAATGAGCCCCTCCAAAACTCTGTTAAATCCCCTAAAACACCAATTTTCTTCTCGAGGCATTTAATAAGCTTCTCTCTCCCCTGAACCAACTTTGTGCATAGTCTGAGAATGAACGTTGGTTTGGAGACTGACGGAAACAGTCAGCTGTGGCATCCTCAATGA